CCATCTCTACAAAAAATTAAAATATAGAAAATTAGCCAGGCAAGGTGGTACATGCCTGTAATCCTAGCTACTTGGTTGGCTGAGGTGGGAGGCTCACTTGAGCCTGAGAGGTCTAGGTTGCAGTTAGCTATGATGATTCTACTTTATTCTAGCCTGGGTGACAGAGCGAGACCATCTCTAAAAATAAGAAAAAAATAGAAAAAGAAAAAATACAGAGAATTTGAAGTTTTCATCTTGATTCTAAGAGGCTTTTGTTTTTTTAATGTACAAAAAAACTAAAATAATGTAAATTTGGGAGGTTTTTAAAATTAAAATATCATGTTATCACAAGAAAGATGAAGATTCCTTGCTTTGCCCTTGGGCAACCAAAAAAATTAAAATCTGTTTTTAATTCCAAAAAAACAAAAGAACTTGCTGGAAATAACAATGCTTAGTGCTTGCAACCAAAGCCAATTTACACTGTTATTATATCCATTCAAATTCTAAAGCCTACAGAAACTTCTTTGTTAGGGCAAAAGGGGAAAATTCCACCTCAGGACAGTTATTCAAGATGAAAGAAAAGTGTATCTTCAGTGAGAGAACTGCTTGCTGTCACAGATTTCTTGCTAATGTTTTTAAAAATTATGGGCTTAACTTTTTTGGTTTTCTGGTAGTTGAATCTGCTGTCACCTCCTCTCTTTTTAGGCTTGCCTTCATTGCTGTTCACATTCAGATCAACAGAAGGAGGCATCTTGAAACCGGATGACAGAGCAACTTGAGGCAAATTTAAGTTAACATTAAAAGTCTGTTTCAGATAATGAGAATCATTCACTCCCATATATGACGCATATGCTTCCTGGGCTGACTTATGAAGAAAGTAGTTCTTTTCCACTAATTTTACAAACCAAGACTGAATGTCAGACATTTTAGACCAGGAGAAGTCAAATTCACTTAATGGAATCTTGAGTTGCTTCAGGTAACAAAGGAAACCCAATGCTTCTGAGCAAAATATGAGCAAGGCATGTTCTCTTTCATTTAGGGCCCTGGCTATTGCCCTCCCACAATGAACATATTCCTTAGGTCCTTAGGGTCATTTGGAGAATTACATTGAACAGTCCAGCCGGTAATATCTAGCCCTCTCCCTGCCTCATCTGTACACAATATCCCTGAATCTGCATTACAGAACTGGAAAAATGTAATTGTACACATAATTTTGCTTCTGCAAATGAATGGCCAAGGTAGGCAAGACAATGTAGTTCAGCAACTCATAGTGGTATTTTACAGACCTACAAAATGAAAAGAAGACCATCAGTTTCTTCCTTCAGTTCTCCTTAAGAAATATAAAGAACAAAAGGAATCTCTTTTCAGAGGACAAACAACGTATCCCTGCTCAGGACTATCAACTGTTGGAGTAGCTTTATCATTATCAACACCAGCATCCATCTGTTCCTTTTTTTTTTTTTTTTAATCCTTGACAGGTCTTCAAGTTTTTTAGTTGTGTGGCAGAAATGGGCATAGTCTCCATGTTCAAAGAAATTTAATAATTTGCTTTAATTTCTCTTCAAACCCAACATCCAAGATACCATTTAGCCTCATCCATAACCAGACACTGTAAATTTTTATACTTAAATCCTGTGGAATTCCACATACAGTCCAGGAGATGGCCTGGTGTGACCATAACAGTGTTGATCCCATTTGCAAGCTTCTGTACTTCCACAGATCTGTTACTGCCACACATTATCAACCCATGCATGTGCACATGCTGAGTCATTAGCTCATTAAGAACACGAAAAGTCTGCAAGACAAGCTGTTCAATTAGTGAGATAATAAAGACTCCATTCCTGGACATGAATTTTAACTTAACAATGAGTTCAAATGTAGGGATGAGAAATGCCAGGGTTTTTGCCTCTGCTGGTCGTGTAGCTACTGAAAGATTCTGTCTTCCATTAGTGGTCCATCATTTTTATGCTAAATTTCAGTTATGTTGGTAAAGCCCATTTCTATTATTGCCTTCAAAGTGTTTTCACTGACAAAATTAGTCAGAGAAGCAAATGAAATATCCTCAACTCCCTCTTTGACTGACTTCCCCACAGTTTTCTGTTTCTTCAGGAGCCTTGATACCAACTTCTTTGGATTTCCCTTTGTTTTCAGTTTTTGCTTTTTTTGTATCACAACCAGCATTAGTCACCATTTTTCTCTTGTTCTTCTTTTCTTCTTCGATTCTGAATCTAGAGACTGCATTGCTGCTTCTGCACTGGTTAATATGGTAGATTTCCAGTTTTCTTTAACTTTTACATTTTCTACTATTTCTTTAAACATGTCTCCATTTGGGGCTTCTGACTCCATCTCTATAAAAAACTACAAAAATGGACCGGGTGTGATGGCACATGCCTATGGTCCCAGCTACTTGGGAGACTGAGGTGGGAGGATTGCTTGAGCCCAAGAAATCAAGGCTGCAGTGAGCTAAGATTGTGCTACTCCACTCCAGCCTGGACAATAGAGTGAGACCCAGTTTCCAAAAAAAAAAAAAAAAAGAGAAAAAAAAAAAAAAAAAAAAAAAAAAAAAAAAGGCAGTGGGAGGGGGGCAAAGGATATGAATAGACATTTCTCAAGATAACAATATGGAAATTTCCAAAAAAAACTAAAAATAGAACTTTACAGTATGATCCAGAATTCCTATTTATCCAAAGGAAAGGAAATCAGTATACCAAAGGAATACCTCCATGTTGTTGCAAATCATTGAATATCATTTTGTAATGTCTGAATAGTACTCCATTGTGTATATGTACCACATGTTTCTTATCCATTCATCTGTCAATGGACACTTAGATTGCTTCCAAATCTTAGCAATTGTAAACAGTGCTGCAACAAACATAGGAGTGCAGACATCTCTTTGATATATTGATTTCCTTTTTGGGGGTATACATTCAGCAATGGCATTGCTTAATCACATAGCTCAATTTTTAGTTTTGTGAGGAACCTCCAAACTGTTCCCCATATGGTTGCACTAATTTACATTCCCACCAACAGAGTTCAGGGGCTCTCTCTCCTCCACGTCCTCACCAGCATGTGTTATTGCCTGTCTTTTGGATATAAGACATTTAACTGGGGTAATAAAAAAAAAAAAAAAAAGCAAGCTCACAATCATACAATATTTTAGGAATTTTTTTAACTTCTCCACCTCCCACTGTTTCTTCTGGCACATCTCCATTTTGAGTCTCTGATAGGCTCACATCTGAGGACCCCTGTGGCTTTAGGTTTCACTGCCACCATTTGAAGTTCTGTGTCTCCATCTTCTTTCACAGGAGTTTCATCCACAGGTAAGATGTGGTCTCACGGAGGCACCTTCACATCTTCACAGCAGCACCACTGTTTAGGTCCTCTGCTCTCCAAAAGGCTTTTCATTAATATGCATGGCACTGAACAAACTTGCTTTATGGTCCTCATATAAACAAGCTGAAAGGTAGCAAGTTGTAAAATATCCATTATACTGTTCAGTATTTAAAAACATGTCTTTGTGAATTTTATTTATCTTATAATTATCCTCATTGCACTCTTACAGATGATAACCAACAGATTTAGACATTATTTGGTAAGAAAACATTTTTTATACTAATGCTACCAACTTTTATTATAAATTGCATCTATTTTAATACAGAGTCATTCAGGGAACACCTACTGAGTACTTACTATGTGGTTAAAACCTTCCACTTGCCATGTGTAGTTTAAGATTAAAACTCGGTGTTTCCCCTTCTTCTCAGCACACAAGATACACACCATGAGGTCTGGGTTCTGTGACCTTGTTCATGCTGTTCTCTTTGCCTAAAATTGTTCTATCTCCTAACTCCCCCAGCCTAGTTAATTAATTCTAATTCAACCTTTGGAACTCAGTATAGTGTCACCTCATCTAGGAAGCTTCCTTACCTGCCCCCACTTCACTTAGACTGCCTTACTCCCTAAACATTACATCTTTTTTGAGAGCAGGAATGAAATCTCTATCAGTTTTGTAACTTTGACCTAAAATTGTGCCTGACTTGTAGTAGAATCTCAATAAATACCTGTTGAAAGGAAAAATTTTAAGCGTAGTGGTTAACTCCTCAAGTAGGTTGTAAGAAAGTCAAAACATGCATGCAAATATTAAATATCAGCATCAAATGTATCACAGTATACATCAGATGTATATCACAAGATACATCCTGGAGCTGCTATACAAACTACCACAAATGTGGTAGCTCAAAACAGAAATGCATTCTCTCACAATTCTAGAGGTCAGAAGTCCAAAACCAAGATGCTGAGAGGTCCATGCTTCCTCCAAGCATTCTAGGGTAGATTTCTTTCCATGCCTCCCTCCTAGTTTCTAATGGCAGCTGGCAATCCCAGTGTTCCTTGGAATTGCAGCATTCCAATTTCTAGCTCTTTCCTTACATTGCCTTCTCTTCTGTGTGTCTATCTTATAAAGATATATGTGGGCCATTTTGTGAAGAGACGAAGACTGAGCGGTTGTGTCCGCGTTGCCGACCTCAAGCAGCAATCGGCTTCTCCATGTAGAACCCAGGAGTAGGAGACCCAGAATCGAATCTCTTCTCCCTCCTCCCTCCTGTGAGATTTTTTTGATCTTCAGCTACATTTTCAGCTTTGTGAGAAACCTTATCATCAAATATGATTGCCAGCAACATTACCAATAAGACAGATCCTCACTCCATGAACTCCCGTGTGTTCATTGGGAATCTCAACACTCTCGTGGTCAAGAAATCTGACGTGGAGGCAATCTTTTCGAAGTATGGCAAAATTGTGGGCTGCTCTGTTCATAAAGGCTTTGCCTTCGTTCAATATGTTAATGAGAGAAATGCCCAGGCTGCTGCAGCAGGAGAGGATGACAGAATGATTACTGGCCAAGTTTTAGAGCTGGCTGCAGAGCCAAAAGGGAACCGAGGAAAAGCAGGTGTGAAACGATCTGCAGCGGAGATGTACGGCTCCTCTTTTGACTTGGACTATGACTTTCAACGTGATTATTATGACAGGATGTACAGTTACCCAGCACGCGTACCTCCTCCTCCTCCTATTGCTCGGGCTGTAGTGCCCTCGAAACGTCAGCGTGTATCAGGAAACACCTCACCAAGGGGCAAAACTGGCTTCAATTCTAAGAGTGGACAGTGGGGATCTTCCAAGTCTGGAAAGTTGAAAGGAGAGGACCTTCAGGCCATTAAGAAGGAACTAACCCAGGCAAAACAAAAAGTGGATTCTCTCCTGGAAAACCTGGAAAAAACTGAAAAGGAACAGAGCAAACAAGTAGTAGAGATGAAGGATGGTAAGTCAGAGGAGGAGCAGAGCAGCAGCTCTGTGAAGAAAGATGAGACTAATGTGAAGATGGAGTCTGAGGGGGGTGCAGATGACTCTGCTGAGGAGGGGGACCTACTGGATGATGATGATAATGAAGATCGGGGGGATGACCAGCTGGAGTTGATCAAGGATGATGAAAAAGAGCCTGAGGAAGGAGAGGATGACAGAGAGAGTGCCAATGGCAAGGATGACTCTTAAGCACATAGTGGGGTTTAGAAATCTTATCCCATTATTTCTTTACCGAGGCGCTTCTCTAAGATCAAATTTTTCACCAGATCCTCTCCCCTAGTATCTTCAGCACATGCTCCCTGTTCTCCCCGTCCTTGTCCTTCCCATGTTCATTAATTCATATTTCCCTGCACCTAGTCCCATTTTCACTTCCTTGGACGCTCCTAGTAGTTTTGTTAAGTCTTACCCTGTAATTTTTGCTTTTAATTTTGATACCTCTTTATGACTTCACAATAAAAAGGATGTATGGTTTAAAAAAAAAAAAAAAGATATATGTGATGGCATTTTGTGCCTACTCAGATAATTCAGGATAAATCCCTCCTTTCAAGATTCTTAATCACATCTTTTGCCATATAAGGTAATATTTCCTTTTTTTTTTCCACCATATAGGGTAATATTCACAGGTTCCAGAGAGTAGGATGTGTACATGTTTTCAGGACCACCATTCAATACATTACAGTGTGTGTAAGCGAGGCATCCAGGAAAGTCATGACAATTCAAAAGGAAGAGAGTGCAGTGGGCCAAAGTGACAGCCACATGGTTTTAACACTTAAAAGGATCAAAGTAATCAGTAGTTATCACCATGCCTTTGAAGTAACCCAGTGATGCCAGTTTCTTTGAAGAAGAAACTGAAGAATGGAAAGGATGTGTGCATATTGCAGAAAGACTAGTGGTGAGGCCAAAATCAGGATTTAACTCTTCTCTTCAATTCTTGATTTATTACCTAGACTCTCTTACCATCCAAAATAAATTTAAGACACACTAAATGGCAGACATATCACAGAGCTGCCACCTATTATTTAAATGACAGATTTGCAGTTTCTTCTTTGTTTATTCCTGCTGAAGTTCTCATAGCAGAGACGCTAATGCAATACTCTGGACAAAAGAAGTGCAGTGAAAATCTGGGGGCTTCCCACCGTCAACAAATACTGACTCTGCATCTGCCCTCAGCAAAATATTGTGATAAATATGAAGAATAATTAGACATGCATTCATGCTTAAGGAGATACCGTCTCATAGAAGACGTGTGATCAAATGACAAGCAGAAGGCAGTATTTCTCATGTGGCCCAGCTAGAGGGATCATTCCTAGCTTCAGTTATCAGGAAAGTCTGCATGGAGCAGATGGCATTTGGACAGGGCATTGAGCAGAAAGCACTTCAATAAGTAGAACTGGAGGTGAAGAAGACAGAGGAGTGATCCAGGGTAACTTAAGCAGGGTCAAAAAAAATTTTTTTTTTAAGTGTGGAGGTGAAAGACTAGAAAGTATGTTGGGAAATGAGACATTCAGGGTATATGCAAAGAACCATGGCAGATAAAAATGAAAAGAAAAATTGTTATATTTCATTCTTGACTGTCAAGTAAATGATATGGACTTTCTTAAACAAGGCATGAAGCTATCATTAAAGATATTTTGAATATAGAAAAGACATAATCAGATATAATCAGAGTTGTTTGAGATGATCACTCTGGCAGTGGTGTGAAAAATATATTAGAAGGCAGGAGAGGCTACATGCTGGAAAATTATTGCAATAGAACAGACAGGAGCTACACAAAGGTCTTGATTAGGGAGGCGGCCATGTGAAAGGCATGTGATAAAAGAAGTGAGAGCAATTTCAAAGAAAACTCAATAGGATATAATGACATGTTGGAGATATGGGATTGAAGACATAGGAGACATCAGAGATGAGTTTGAGATTGAAATATGGTAATGCAAAATAGTGATGCCTTTGGAAGAATCTGGAAAGTCAGGAGGAGGGATACATTTTACAGCAAAAATGATTAACCTAGTTTACAAATGTTAAGTTTCAAGAACCAGCAGGATATAGATGCTGAGAAGGACGTGAATGAAAGAGCCATTTCCATGGAGAAAATAATTGAAGTCATAGAAATGTATACCATCACAAAGAAAGGGAAAGAATTCCTAAAGCTTAAGGAATGTCCACCACAGTTAATGAATTGTAGAGGAACAGAAGCTAGCCAAGAACATCAAGAGCAAGAAGTGATTTGACCAAAGCAGCAGCAGGAGTCCAAATGCTGAAGTGGACAGAATGTAAGAGAGAGGAGAACTTCAAGGTGGGGTCATTAATATCAAGTAGTTTAAATTACAAAACTGTATTATCAAGGGGAAGCTGATTATAATCCTGAAAGACACAATCCTGTACACCATAATCCCAAATGTTGAAATCCTGAAAGATGAAAATCCCTAAGGTCTAAAATCCCAGAAATATAATTTCGGAAAAAATAATTTTAAAAGTTATTTAAAAGATATTTATTCACATTTTAAAAGAGGAGTTTATTTGAGACACATAACAGAACACTTCATTGGCCACTTTACACAATAATATAGGCAATAATAACATATATATTGTTACAAACATAAAAGTTCTCATATAATAACAACAAATAGGTATAACAGGTATATCTTTTTTGTTGAGACAGCCATATGCATAAAGAAATAGAATAAAAGAGAAACACGTAAATAGAATAAAAGGGAAACACGTAAACACATGGCAACATGGTTAGTAATTGTGTACACTCAGATTTATAACTACGGTCCTCTGACATACTGTGATGAAGCCTTTCAACTAGACCAATCAAAAACTGCAATGGGTCACCACTGCACAACCAGTTGCCCAAGCAGCCAAGATCTCAAGAAATTACGCCTTTCACAAATGCAGATGTACAAAAAGGACATCTCTTCATTTATTAAGGAAGTGTCAATGTTTTTACACACACACAATGGTTACACACAAAGGCTGTGTGGCATACAGAGACCAAACTGCCAGGACATGAAGAGTAATTGGTAGTAGGTCAGGCATGGTGGCTCATGCCTATAATCCCAGCACTTTAGGATGCCAAGGCAAGAGGATCATTTGAGGTCAGGAGTTCGAGACCAGCCTGGCCAACATGGTGAAGCCCCGTCTCTACTAAAAATTAAAAATATATTATCTGGGTTTGGTGGGGCATACCTATAATCCCAGCTGCTCAGGAGGCTGAGGCAGGAGAATCGCTCCCAGGACGCAGAGGTTGCAGTGAGCCAAGATCATGCCACTGCACTCCAGCCTGGACAACAGCTATCTCAAAAAAAAAAAAAAAAAAAAAAAAAAAAAAAAAAAAAAAAAAAAAAAAAAAAAAAAAAAAAAAAAAAAAAGAGTAATTGGTAGTAAATAAAAATTGTAGGTAAATGTTTCAAGAAGTTGGAAGATAAAATCCAGAAGCCAATATCAGAGGAGAAAATAGAATATAAAGAAAGATGATATGTTTAGGTGTTTGGTGCTGTTTTTTCTTTCAGAATAAATGGTTATCTTCCAATCAACATTTATTGAGTGCCTACACTGTGCCATTGAGCTGGCTGGCAAGATCCAGAGATGATTAGAATTTGATCCTTACTCTCAAGCAGTACACAATTTAGTGGAGAAAGCAGAAATGTAAATACATTGCTCAACCCAATGCAGTAACAACAGCAGGCTATGGAAGCACGAAGAGGAGCATTAGCCTGCTGGCCTAGTCTAGGGACACTGGAGGCGATAGGGCTGAAGGGCTTCCTGAAAAGATGATACCTGTTGACCCTGAAAGGAAGACTAGAGGCCAGGCTGACATATGTAAACAAAGGCATAGGGGAGAAAAGTACCACATATGTTTTCTGCAAAGACAAAGAATCTTAGCAGAGAGAAAATATTGATAAGAGATAAAGTAAACAATGGAAGCTTGTTTCTGAGTGAGGTGGGAAAGGATGATACTGGGCAGGCTAGTAAAGGTATTAGCCTTTTTTAGGAGGATACAAAGGGAAGGAGACAAATTGATGAAGAAACCAGGCAATAGTCAAGTAGCAAGGAAAATGGCTGAAGGAACAAGGTGTTTTGCCTCTTTCGTTTTTATCAAATGGAAGGTCCACTATCTGCTCAGAGCAGAGTCAGGGCCAGGAAGTGCAAGGAAACGATGATTACTAGATTAACAGTCTTTCTTTCTTTTAAAATAAAAAACATCTATTTAAATCACAGATAGTCTGGGGCTCTGTCTCTGTCTAATGAATCTAGTGTGAGAGAGAGGAGGTGCAGAGCTTGGGCTCTGGAAACAGACTGCCTGAGATTGTCTTGTCTGTGTCACATATTAAGGATGTGATGCAAGTGGTTTTATGATGTAAATAAACTCTCTGTGCCTGTGTCTGTTCAACTATAAATCAGACAAACTGTATATAACTCATAGGTTTGCCATAAGGAATAAGAGAATTCATACATGTAGAATGCTGAAAACAGTGCCCAGCACATAAGAGATACTCAAAAAACTTTAGCTCTTAGCATTGTGAGACCAGTGCTAGCCACTAGAACTTTCTGAGATGATAGGCTTTCCACTGTGCTAATACAGCAGTCACTAGCCACCTGTGGCTACTGAGCTCTGGAACTGTGGCTAGTGTAACTAAAATTTTCATTTTTATTCATGTAAATTCAAAAAGCCATATATAGTTGGGCAGAAGACAGAGCAACCATTTTTTTATATATTTTAAGTTCCAGGATACAAGTACAGGACATGCAAGTTTGTTACATAGGTAAACATGTGCCATGGTGGCTTGCTGCACCTATCAACCCATCACCTAGGTATTAAGCCCTGCATGCTTTAGCTATTTATCCTGATACTCTTCCTCCCTGCCAGCCCCCACAACAGGCCCCAGTGTGTATTTTTCCCCTTCCTGTGTCTATGTATTCTCATGGTTCAGCTCCTGCTTATAAGTGAGACTATATGATATTTGGTATTCTGTTCCTGTGTTCATTTGCTAAGGATAATGGCTTCCAGCTTCATCCATGTTCCTGCAAAGGACATGATCTCATTCCTTTTTATGGCTGCATAGTATTCCATGGTGTATAAGTGATAAATTTTCTTTATCTACTCTATCCTTCATGGGCATTTGGGTTGATTCTATGTCTTTGCTATTGTGAATAATGTGGCAATGAACATACATATGCATGTATCTTTATAATAGAATGACTTCTATTCCTTTCGGTATATACCCAATAATGGGATTGCTGGGTCAAACGCTATTTCTGCTTCTAGATCTTTGACAAATTGCCACACTGTCTTTCACAATGGTTGGACTAATTTACACTCCCAACAACAGTGTAAAAGTATTCCTATTTCTTCACAGCCTCGCCAGCATCTGTTTCTTGACTTTTTAATTATCTCCATGCTGAGTGGCATGAAATGGTATCTCACTGTGGTTTTGATTTGCATTT